CTATTTGATAGATAAAGTTATAAGTTCTTGATAAATATGTTACCAACCGTATATAGATAAATAATTTATCATTTATGATAATAGTATTTATTAAATATAACCGGATTTATTTATCAAGATCATTTCAAATTACGAAATAATTCATTGGGGTTTGTTGCATGACATATGTATTTATATATAATTTATAATTCAATAGCAGATTAAAGCAATTTATCATATAATAAATAAATACTGTAATATTGCTATCAATAATAAATTATTTATACACTGTACATAAGGCTTGTACTGCTAATATCTATCAAATAACTGGTAACATATTTATCAAGAACTTATAACTTTATCTATCAAATAATATTATATATTAAAATAATTAATTAATATAATTTTTAAATAAAAGTTAGTAATTACCGCGGTCTCTTGCTCAGNTATTATATATTAAAATAATTAATTAATATAATTTTTAAATAAAAGTTAGTAATTACCGCGGTCTCTTGCTCAGGTCGAGTACATAATTAGACAAAATGTACTAACAAGCACATTTGTTAATAGCATATGATTAATACAATGTTTGAATACTAGGTTAACTTTTAGTATAAATACGAGTGAGATGGTCTCAAAAAAGTCACAAAACAATTTAACCAGTATCATTTTATATTAATATAATTTAATACTAAAATACCGAGGTGAACATCATGAATTCCCCATCAATTGTTATCCTGTTTGTTGCGCATATTATTTGTAAGTATTATATAATAAATAAATATGATTTAATACATTACTAAATAAATAAAATTCATTTATTATTAACCCATAAAAATAGGCCTAACCTCAGCCAATGGAGACAGCATTGAAAAGCGACACCTATTCCCATCACCATTAGATCTATTAGACGGTGCCCTTAAGCCTATACAGTCTATCCTACATCCCGGCGCCGGACAGGCAGGTGGTAATAGGCCTGCCGTTATAAACGTGGAAATCGAGCAGTTGTTGAGAGACGACAGTCGCCTCCAATTGGCCGCAGATTTCAACAACACATTGAAGACATTAAACATCGACGGAAGCAAGTTCTTTGCTGTTGACCCCACTCAGCCTGGTCATAGAGAAATTCACCTGGGTACTGAATTAAATTTAGCTTATAAAAATACCTAGTTAATATTTTCTATAATCATTATAATAGCGTTCACGCCGTACGTAAAGACCGCGTTATCGGTGGATAAGCACTCGACATGTGACGGAAACGCGGGCATAACTGCCCTCTATTTGAACACTACATACGCCACAGACATGGCGTGCAGTGGCTATCAATACAAACAATTTCCCTTTGAGTACACGATTGACGTGAACGGACAGCCGGAAGTCCTACCCCTCGCCGCCATGAATCAGGCCATGGCGTCGGTGAACGGTATGTGAGAAATGAATGTAAAGTTATTTCTCAAATGTCTCACAAATATTATGTCGTTTTGTTGGACCCAATGACAGGCCATACAGAGGAAGTGCATTTGGCGACCATATCCGGGGGCCGATGCAAAGGGGACTTCCTATACGTGCAGACAGTATTTCTCAAATGTCTCACAAATATTATGTCGTTTTGTTGGACCCAATGACAGGCCATACAGAGGAAGTGCATTTGGCGACCATATCCGGGGGCCGATGCAAAGGGGACTTCCTATACGTGCAGACAGTGTTTCAATCGCCGAATCCTTTACAATGTGTCGACCACTCTGTCAATAAGCTATCAGTCATACAAATGGTCGCAACGATCACCGGTACTAATTGTAACACCGAGTGCTCACTGGACAGACCCGGCACTGTCACGGTTCACACCCCCTATAATAACAAGGGTATGGCATAAACGGGTTTCCATAGGCTCGCAGTCACTGTTGTTACTGATATGACACTGCATTGAATATTTTATAACCTAAAAATTTCTATTAAATAAAAACATTTTAAAGCATTTCATATCATTTAGAAGTAATTCATTTGTTTAAATATTTTTTATTTTATATAACCCACATACGATATGCTTACCTGCAATGCTCTCTACAGTATTTAGCTGTAAACTAAAAAACAAAAATTAAACAAAATTTTTAATGTACTTTTAGTTTGGTTTTATAATATTTACAACGAATTACAATTATTTTTATAATTAATAGTAATTTTATTATTAAATTATTTAAGCATTGTAATTAATTCATTAGAAATTACTAAAATACATTGAATTTTAAGAGATCATTTCAAATGTAAGCATACATTGCAAACAGATAAGTGTTTATGTGATTAACCGCTTAATTATAAGGTTAAGCCTGGCACTCGTAAATTATTATAAATATAATAGATTATAGCGACTGAACGAGCAACACACCACGATGGCAGTTAGTAAAAACACCAAGCTCAATTATCAACGCGACGATCTGAACGACCAAATACTGGCCTTTGAGATTCGCGGTGTAAATGTCGAACGGGTCGACTACAACCAGTACGTGCCAAACGCCAAGGTATTACTCGAGACCCTGATGAGTGACATAGAGGGCGCGCCCCATAAAGATTCTAATGACTTGACGGACTACACGAGACTCAATTTTCCAAATATAAAAGACCAGGATGTTTTCATGACGGTCAACATGTGGTGTATGTTTACCTTTCTCCTGGATGATTTCCTTGAGAGCCAAACGACTAAACTGGAGTATTGGGTGAGGTATGGTATCTATTTTAGTTTTATTTATAATTTATTTATTAAGTTATAAGTTATAACTCATAACAGATACTCATTTTTAATAGTAAGCACAATTAATTAACCAGCTCTCACTGTACTACATATAGTAAATTATTTATATTTATTTTAAACACAATAATTGAAAACAATTAGTAAATGGGAACAAAACATAACGGATGGCCACTCGTCTGGCACAGACTTTTTGGATATATTTTTTAATAACTTGCGCGCCAAAATGAACAAGGTATTTTCGGAGAAATTGATTTCGATGCACAATTCATGGTACATGAAATTTCTGAGTTTCCACACTGAAACTGAAAAGGTTAAGACTGGTGATCATATGTACACATTGGATGAGTACGATGCACTTAGGTATGACATATTGTTAAGCAGTAATATATTTCTTATCAAATTTAGTTGAGAACAGTGAGGCACGAATCTCGATTGATTGGTTTTAATTGTAATGATTAGTTAGTCAGTAACACAATTAACATTTTGAATTGACTAAACTTGGCGAATCAAGTAAATTAGCCTGCTAAATTTACGTTTAACTATCGCTGACATCCTCATTTTGTCATTGATATAACATTAGATTTAATTGTATATAATTTTATACTATTATTTTGTGTTCATATATCAATAATTATTGTTAAAATTATC